GAAGCCCGTTCTTGGTAGGCACTAAGGGAAGGTGTCCAAGGCGGCAACACTCTTACGTCTTGGTTCAAAGAGGTGGCAGCAACTGCTACTACAATTCGGCAAAGACGGACGCATAACTTTAACAACTTATTCCCCAGGGTCCTCCCACCACTCAAGGGAGGCAGGTGACACTGGGGCTAGCTTCGATCTACAATTTCACTTTGCAAGTCTATCCTATAAAATAATGACATCAGTATTTAAGGACATTTGTACAAGGATGTTCGCTAAAGCACTTCCTGTAGCCGTACCAAACCACACCTGCAACTTGCTCATCAATACAGCACTGGCTGACTTTAACTGTGATCTGTCTGCTACGGGATGCTATGCAAAAGGTTAACAACAGATCTGTATCTGTTAGTCTATGGAGTCAAATCTATAGAATAACGTACATAATAAGATCTCATTGTTGTAAAAACACAACAATCACAAAACATTTATACATGTGCCTACACAAATGTGTTTACATAAATAAGTAAGTATTTATATACATAAATAAAATATGGACTATTAAGATTTGCAGCCCAGGGTGAAAGGGTGTGGAGGCAATTACACTTCTTCACCATCCATCATTACACTGTGTTTTGGGCAGGGGTGAACTTCCCTACACTTACTTGCTTTATTCGTGAACCAGAGATGATAATGAATATCTCTTGAATGTTGTGGGAGTGAAAATAACTTACGCATAATGCCCAGCACTTAGCAGACATTTCATACATCACACTAATATTATTATCTTTTTCTTTCATACCAAGAGCTTGTTTTGGTCCAGCAATAGTGTTTTATATAAAATACTTCTGTCTTTAAAAAATACTGTGTTCAGTATCCACAGATCCAAAATCAACAGAAAAATAAAAGCTACCTTCTTAAGCTCAACTCACTCAAACTCTAATGGGGCTAGCTCCCTAATATTTTAACAGGAACCAAGGAAAACTAATTCAGATTAAATAAAAGTACCGAAGGAGCGCAGTGTGGCTCTGGCAACTTCTCTAAACATAAATGATCTCCTTTGTAAGACGGTGATGAAAATGTTTACTCTGCTTCCCTCCCAAGGGTCTGAAGAGAAAGACGATGCTTGTGGAAATGCTCAGTAATCTGAAAGTACCATACAAATGAAGTATTGTTTTAAAGCTAAGACTGTGCCCATTCATAAGCATGAAGTTCAAGATTATTTAAGAGTCAAATATACAAAGTGATTTAGATACTAAAAAAAGATACAAGAAAGTGATTTTGTACCTCAAAGAAGTGACTTGGAAAGCCAGAGAACTGTCAAAGGGAGCTGTGGGATGTGGACCAGCAGAACAGCACACCCACCTGGCTCTGACACCCACTCTGTCACTGGGTATGTCTGGGGCGGTGTCCTTGTGAGAACTACTATGGTAATCCGTTTCCCACTGGTATTGTCGGGGTCAGAGAGGCGGTATGTTAGTGCTTCTCAGTCATATCACACTTAATGACCCCCTTTTGTAACAAATACTTTGAAACTTATTGTTCCCTAACTTGAAATGAAGCTCTTAGAGCACTAACTGTAACCGAGGATCCAGGCTCCGGAGCTTCCTCCTTTGAGCAAAGCCTCAGCCCTCAGCCCTCTTATCAGCAACCTCTTTGAAAACCTTCCCTGCGCCCTGGCCCGCTGAGCAGCTGCGTTCTGCTCCTTCCCTTTGCTCCCGGGTCTGGCCACGTTACTAAACTTGGCCAATGGAATGAGCGGCTTCGTGCTTTCTCATTCAGCAGCTCATCCGCAGTTACTGCTTCCCATGGGCCAGAAGGCGGATGTGCAGATGAAGTCAAGTTCTGACCTTACAGGAGAGGACCACACCCTAGGGGCTGGCATAACAGTAAGACAGAGGAACTTGGGACTCTGGATGATCTTGTGGGGCAAGGCCTCCTCCCACCCTGGATTGCTTGCCCACCTTCGGTCATGCATGTGATGAAGAGATGAACTTCCATCTCGTCTGACACACTGCAGTTTGGTGTCTCCCTGTTCTATGATCGTAGTCTTTATTCTAATTAATACATCTGGTTGCATGAATAATTTCAAAAAACTGTAAGAGTCATATAAAAAAGAAGTAAAAGAAAATATACTTAAAATAAATAAAATGACCTTTTTTGGTTTTTTTTTTTTATTTGGGGGGGGATTAGGTTTATTTCTGTAATTCTTTAATGGCGGTACTCAGGACAGAACCCAGGACCTTGCGCCTGCTAGGCATGCGCTCCACCACTGAGCTATACCCTCCCCCAGCATGGATTTTTATATGTATATGCTTGGGAGCAGCTCCATTTGAGGACACGAGCCATCAGATAAGTGTCAGTCATCCCGGTCACGATATAAGTGAGCCAGGAGGGTCAAAGTCATGCTGCACAGGATCTGTGGGACCAAGTACCAGCGGAAGCAGTGGCGGACACGAGAAGAGACACACGTCTAGTAAAAGGTCAGGCACTGGTGTATGTTGAGAGAGAAGAGATTAATCTTAAATGGAAGAAATAATATTCCAAGGTAAATTACAGACTGAATGTAGAAAATGAGAATGATATTCTCCCAAATGAGCTTGGCAAAGTAACTCCCAGGAGGGAGAAATAATTCTCTGTGCTATGACTCGGATTTGACTGTGGGGTGACTGGCTAACAAAATTCACAGAAAAATACAGCTCCTTTCTTGAAATCATACAACATATCGGTGCGTACACTCAGTCTCCAGTACGTGAAAAGGACTTGACCATAACTTCCAACAGGTGAGGAAGAGTATCTTGATAAATTGGAAAAAGAAGCAACAATGTGGAAAAGAAGCAACAGTAAGGAATTTTAAGATAGACTTTCGAGGACAGTATCAGAGTAAGACAGGAAAATAACAGGCTATCCAAAAATAATTTCAATATGTAATGTTTTTAACATAGATTTCTTATCATCATCCTAAAATATTTTAAAAATATAAAGGGTAGCAATACTATAAAATATTTCTAAATGTTTATCTTTAAAAATTCAATGCAATCAATATATTCCATGTGTCTGTTAAATTAATAATATTTTATTTTAAGACTATTAAAAGGCATCTCAAATTTCCTTTTATGTATTTGTAAATGTTTTCCTTGGTTTCTCAGTAATTGCACTTCTAACAGCTAAATATATGGTTGAAAATGGTACAATGTATTGAGTAGAAAATAAGTAAATTATTCAATAATTTCAAGAACAGTATGTTTATTCCATTTCAGCTGTCTTCTCCATAATAAGTCTTCTAAATTCCTTGGCTTTTTGCCTAATGTATTATATAGTTCAGTTTTTTTTAATATTAAATCACTATATGATTGTATTTGTAGTTTGTTGAATCCAGCAGGACATTCAAAAGGACAAATGTTGGACATTTTTCGTTATTCAGTCCTGTTCCATGCACTGCAAGACATCTAGTGTCCTTAGCTTCTGTCCAATAAAATGCCCATATTCCCCCAAATTACCTTACCCCAAAACGCTTCCACAAATTCCTAGAACAACTCATAGGGCAGTGTCTCTCACAGTATCTGGGGTAAAGGACCAGTTACCCACCCTCCAAGCTGTCCAAGATCTATACTCTTTTATTAAAAAAAAAGTTACTAGAAAAAATGAAATAAAAACAAAGACATACAAAATATATGTTTCATTTTATTACACTCAGTGGACAAGAACGACTCTGCCAAATTAGCAGCCCAATTTCTGAGTGGTTCCTCTCAGTTTCTGCTCTTATCTCACTGCAGACCAACAGTTTACAGACCAGCTCTGGTCCAGGGGCCACACTGTGAACATCACTGTCCTAGAGATGGCACTGCCTTTGCTGAAAATCACTAGTAAAAATAAAGCGACACATAGAAATGTTAGTTACCATCGTCATAATTTTTATGCTAAATATCCTTTTGCAGAGACTGAAATAAACAATTCCATCCACACTGACAGCCCTGCACTGCTTCACGCACTCCTGCCTAGATCGTCAGACAAACGCACAAGTCCTATCCCCTTCCTTGTTTAAAGGGCAACCTTGTCTTCTATGCTACTGAATTCCTCTCTGCAAAGGTGCATCAACACAGCCAGAGAAAAGTCCCGATTCCTTTTAGAGGCCAAAAGTAAAAGGAGAAAACAAAATCTGATTTTTAAAGGACTCACAAAATACACACATGCAGAACACGAAACGATGCTCAGCTCGCTGCCTGTTCACCTGCTGGTCCACACTCAGCATCCTTTTCCTCAATGCCCACATCCCACTCGCCCTTCCGTGGGCCCACTCCAGCCCCACCCCGCCCCTCAGCACAGGAAGAGCCACAGGACAGGCCTCCCTTTCTCCCACGATTCTTCTTCTTATGACACCAGTATAGCATCTGTCCAGAAGAATTTGTTTTAAGCACTGACTCCTTCCCTTTTCAGTGGTGTCCTGTTAGGAATATTGTCACTTGAGAAAACCGTCAAGGTTCATCTTATCCCAATCACGGTTTTGACGGTAAGTACAGTGAAACGTCTCTCTGCATACAATATATGGAATGACATGTTAAATTTTAAGCATCTCTTTAAAATGCTATTGACTTTATAAATTTTCATGAAAGAGTCATACAAATGTCTGATGTTTAACATTACACTGAAGTCCATACTAAGCTGTGACTTTTAATTATTTGAATTTTCCATGAAGATTGTTTGCCCACATTACAATAACACAGTATACAAAACATTTTACTATATGAAAATATGTACATGAAATGTAATTCAAATGAAAACAACTATTTATTTGTTAAGTTCAAATTTTCTGCTGTTCTGATATCTGATAATTCTGTAACAGTGATGTAAGTAACCATAAATATTACATTTCTAGTGTCAACCACACTAACATTTGCAAGAAAAAATTGATGTATCACTTTGGTTTTAAATATTAATTTAATTTTCTTTTAAACACAGTATTAATCAAACTGAATTTGAAGTCTGTATACCTTTTCAATAAAGCACGATCTTACCCTTTTCTTGGCCACCACAGCAACTCTGCCATCTGCTTTGGATTTGTCTGTAAGATAATAAAGTAGAGCTGCTTCAGAAAAGTGCCTACACTCCTGCCCAAGTAAACGCAACATGACGCAATTAGAATTCCCTACTTGTTCCCACCGTGAGATGTGTCTTCAGTGGGCCTTTCGATCAAAATGCTAACAAACTCGGCTCCCAGAGTTGAGTACAACAAAGTAATCCAAAAGTAAGAACATCAGGGATTCGAATGTATCCTTATTTGATAAACCTCCTCCTTTAAATCTGATTGGCGGGTTGGATGTCCTCAAGTGAGCATCCAGTGTATCTCATTTCTACATTCTGGTCAGCTTGTGTGATCGTGAGCATGAAGGGTCTGGAATTCAATCTCAGCCACCTCTATCTGCACATCTGCTACATGCCAGACATGGAATAAAGACTTTACAGAGACAATATCTTATTTAATCCTCACGACCGTCTTGCAAGGTGTGTACTCCACCCTCACTCGATAGCCCAAAGTGGTGCAGCGGGGCACGTCCATCTGACTGCAGGTCCCTAACTGTCCTTATGTCTGCAGCCTCCTCTGGGGCCCTCGGAGCTGCCAACAGTGCCTCAGAGAAAGACTCAGCAAGAATGAAGACTATAATCAAACAGAACACAGCTGACCTGAACAACGTGGGGGTTAAGAGCGTGGACCCCTTGTGCAGTCAAAAATTCAAGGATAACTTTTGACTCCCCTAAAACTCAACTACCAGTAGCCTCCTGTTAACTGGAAACCTTACCAATAACATAAACTGTCAATTAACACACATTTTGCAGGTTATATGTATACTGTATTCTTACAATAAGGTAAGCGAGAGAAAAGAAAATGTATTAAGCAAATCATAAGAAAGAGAAAAAACATTTATAGTACTCCACTGTATATATCAATGCTGTGAGTTTACATGATTTGTTTACAAGGTCTGTCAGGACCTACGTCAGTATTGTCTTCTATGATCTAAACACTGCAGATGTTACATGTATTACTAACACTAGACAGCAAAAATGAAAAGATAATGTGAAAAAGAAATTCATGTTTATTTATAGGTATAATGATTCACACACTGATAATAAAGCAGCAGCTACATGACTGCTTTATGGAGGCCCAGGGTAACGGGCAGGATTGCATCACGGGAGCCCAGCCTACACACTGAAGAATGCATCATTATCAAATTTTTAGGGCACACAGTACTACGGGCATTTTATAAGACAGTCCGGGAAACACGTTAAATTTTTTAAAAACCACTCACCTGTGATGATTGGCTGATACGGTTTCTCCAATTACGAGAGACAGAGATGTACTGTAGGGTAATGTAATTCTTTGAAAGCAAAGTTGTAAAACAGTAAGAAAGCTAACAGGATGAATTTCATGTAAGTATCACTCACCCTGTGCCTCCGTAAGGATATGCTTACACCGACTTCATCACGGGTCTTGGACACAATGTTCTACAGGATGTTGATGACAACGATGCTGCCACAAAAAGCCCCATGCAGCTATTCGATGTACATGAAGACACGCCCATAATACGCAGCAGATAAGGTTACTAACTGTCCGGCATGGTGACTCTTCGCTATTCATTAAGTAGAAGTGGGTCATCATAAAGGTCTTCATCCTCGCCGTCTTCAAGTTGAGGAGGTGGAGGGGGAGGAGGAGAAGGAGTGGGTGCTAGAGACAGACGAGGTGGAGGGGGTGGAAGGGGAGACAGGGAGACAGGCACACTCCATGTAGCTTTGCAAATATTCATCTTACTTTCTTCTGACTTTTTTTTGCTTGTTTCTCCAAAAATGTTTCTCTATGGTACGTTGTTTTTCCACTGTTTGCTTTAGTTTCAGTGCCTGTATCACAGAAGGATCCGTGTCATAAAAGAAGTCAGAAGCAGACTTGAATATTTAGAACCCTTCTACCAGACTGTCTAATGTCAGTCTGTTACTGGCACTGCTCCCTCCACATCTTCTTCCTCATCATCTGGCGCTGGTTTGGAAGCACTCATCTGTTAATTCCTCTGGCGTGGTGTCTATTAGCTCTTAAATTTCTCCAAGATTCGTATCTTGAAACTTCACACCCCTTCCTTTATTTTGGCCATATTCACAGTCACTTTCATGATTTCCTTGACTGGTTCCGTCGTGAATCCTGTGAAGTCACGCACAACATCTGGTAACAGTTTTCTCCAGCAGGAATTTACCGTTTGGGGCTTGATGGCTTTCAGGGCTTTTCTAGTAACAACGGCGTCATCAATGGCATAATCCCTTCAGTCTTCCATGATGTTCTGTCTACCAGGATTCTCCTCCACAGCATTAGCAATCCCTTCCAATCCCTACCATGTGTAATGAGCCTTCAAGGTCCTCTGACCCCTGATCTAGAGACTGAATCAGAGACACTGTGTTTGGGGGCAGGCAGACCACTCCGACCCCTTCGGTGTTGAACTCATGGGGTTCTGGGTGGCCAAGGGCACTGTCTAATATTAAAAGAGCTTTAAAAGGCAGTCCCCTACTGGCAAGGAGCTTCCTGACTTCAGGGACAGAGCACTGATGAAGCCAGTCCAGAAAAAGGCTTCTTGTTGCCCAACCATAAGACTGGCAGCTGGTGTTTATCTTCTCCCTTCAAGGCTTCGGGGGTTAGCAGCTTTATGGATGAGGGCAGTCCTGACCATAAACCCGACTGCATTTGCACGAAGCCAAAGAGTTAGCCTGTCGCTTCCTGTCTTAAATCCTCGTGCTGGTTTCTCTTTCTTACTAACAAATGTCCTTTGTGGCATTTTGTTTTTCCCAGAACAGGGCACTTTGTTTGCATTAAAAAAACCTTTTCAGGCAGATATCCTTTCTCTTCAGTGACTTTCTTAATGGTGTCTGGGGACCTTGTCTCCTGCCTCTTGGTCAGCAGAAGCTGTTTTTCCTGTTATCGTGACATTTCTTAAGCCAAACCTCTTTCTAAAATTACCAAATCATCCTTTGATGGCATTAAATTCTCCAGCTTTGGATTCCTCATCTTCTTTTTGCTTTAAGTTGTCAAATAATGACCTCGCTTTTTCTTGGGAGTATATTGGAGTCCACACGTGTGTCTTTCTGATAGCAACCCTGCATTCACATTAAGGCTGCGTTTTCGACGCGAGATTAAAAGTGCAAGGTTTTCGTGCAAGTGTGTGCAGCCGCAGCAATGGCTTCATACATTTTCTTTTCTTTTTTTTTTTTATAATGGCTGGATTCCTCCATCCTCAAACGGCGGCATCTTCAGCTGCAGACCTCAATCTACGTTACATAACAAGCAATTCAACTTGTCCTTGTCATGTCATGACTCTGCTTCTCGGGAGCACTTCCAGCATCACTAGTGGCACCTTGTGGGTCCACAGCATTGCTCAAGGTTAATGGTATTGCACTAAACACGATGCAAAATATGTGAGAACATTCTATTGCCATGCACAACTCACTGGAGAGATAAACTGCTCATGCAGAGGTGATCAGGGTCACAGCATTTTAAGCGGATACTCACTACACTTGAACTCACAACAGCCAACAGCAGATGGCTATGGAATTATTATAGTTGAACAGTATGTACTACAGTTAATTTTATGCAATTATGATTTAATACTGCATCTTTACCTTTGTTTACATTTCTCTCGACTCTGAATGGAACCATGTACAATCTGTGTTTGCATACATTTTGATAAAATTTAACTCTTTACTATAGATTTGTATGGATTTTATGGTAGTGAATGATAAAATTGACTAGTATCTACATATATTTTAATCATTCATGATATACCTTTCTCTTAATTTTTTCAATATTTCTAGGCTATGAAGTTCATCTGTGAATTTTTTCAAATTGTCGCAAATCTCCAAAAATATTTCCATATACTTACTATGAATTCATTGAAATCTGTGTATAAGCAGAGTCATGCAGTTCAAACTTATGTTGTTCAAGGGTCAACTGTATAGAAAATTACTCTAATCTAATTGTCCATCAACAGATGACTGGATAAAGAAGTAGTGGTATATTTATACAATGGAATACTACTCAGCCATAAAAAATGCTAAAAAGAATGCCATTTGCAGCAACATGGATGGTCCTGGAGAATGTCATTCTAAGTGAAGTAAGCCAGAAAGAAAGAAAAATACCATATGATATCACTCATATACGGAATCTTGAAAAAAAAAAAGACAAATGAACTTATATATAAAACAGAAGCAGATTCACAGACATAGAACACAGATTTGTGGTTGCCGGGGGGAGGCAGGTGGGAGGGGATAATCTGGGAGTTCAAGATTTACAGATACTGAATGGTATATATAAAATAGATAAACAAGTTTATACTGTATGGAACAGAGAATATATTCAATATCTTGTAGTAGCTTACAGTGAAAAAGAATATAAAAACGAATATATGTATGTTCCTACATGACTCAAGTACTGTGCTGTACACCAGAAATTGACACAATATTGTAAACTGACTATATCTCAATTTAAAAAAAAGAAAATTATTTTGAGGTATCATTTTGATATGTGCAAAAGTATACGTGTGTGTGTATTAGTAAAAATTATTGGCATAACTATGGATTTTTAAAAAAGTGTTCAATCTGGAATTCTGCAACTGAATAGGTTATATGTAAATATTTATTCATAGATATGTTTTAGAAACCTTAGTATTGTGGGAATGAAAAATGGAAAGTGTTATGGACATTAATAGTAAAGTTCTAGGGTTACCTTTAACATTAAAGAAAAATACAGAAATTTATCAGTGGAGTAGTAGAGTTCACAATAGACATGTAAAGCAAATTTTGCCGTAAAAAAAATTATTTCCGGAAAACCCAGAAATGCAGAGAAGCAGGTTGTTACATGCATACCTATGACTGTCTGGCCACATGTAAACTGCCCTCTTGCCCTGTGTTCAGCTGCGTGTTTGAAATAATCCTTTCTTCTGGAGTACACTTTCTCTTTACTGGTGAATGTACCAGATCATCTCCTTCCACAGATGATTCTTCCAATTAGGAGTAATACCCACCTGTCTTACA